CACTGGACTCCAACCTCCCTCTCATTTATGCTCACAATATCTGCTACTCTCACAAGGTCCAAGATGAGGATGCATTGGGGCTTCACTGTGGGGGATGGGCAGCATTCATAGCAATGAACTGAGTGGAGGTGCAATTAGACCCATAGATTTGAGTATGCTTTCACCACAGACGGTTGTGCTGTAAAGTGGGCCCCATGCAGGAGGAGAGCCCTCTCTCAGCTCCTGTTCCTCAAGGGACTTCATTGATCTCAGAGTGACTGAGCAACAGCATGTCCTAGGCTCTGTAGCAAAAGTGATACGGGGACAAATTGTATTCCCAATGCCCACGTGAATGTGGAACACACGAGTATACAAATCCCTCTCACCAAGTGTGATCTTCTTTCTGTGAACTCGGGTGTGAGGACCCAGAGGAGGGGGGAAAAGATGATTCATTATCTTGGGGATGTGTGATGGGAAATTTTATCTGTCAATTTGGAGAACGTTTTGGATGAGATGAACATTTAAATTGGTGAACTTGGAGTAAAGGAGATTGTCCTCCATGATGTCGGTAGGCCTTGTCAAATCAGTTGAAGACCAGAAAGGATCAAAACGACTGATGTCCCCTAAGAGGGGGATTCCCCCAGCAAACTGCCTTCAGACTTCATCTGCAGCATTGGCTCCCCTGGGCTCCAGTGTGCCAGTCTACACTGCAGATTGTGGACTCGATGGTCTCCATTATCACATGAGCTCATTCCTTCTAATCATTCTCTCTCTCTCCACATCAATCCGGTCCTGGGTCTCTGGAGAACTGTGACTAAAACAGCAGGGTAAGGAAGACTTAACGGGAGATGATATTTGTGCTCAGCTCTGAAGTTCCACACGGTCGTGACCAGTGGCAACCAGACTACCTGACAGAGGATAGGCCAGCACAGAAAGCCTGCAAGCACGACGGTGAGGACTGGCTGGTGGGCCAGAGTGGCTGGTGCTTAGGGTATTGGAGAGGAAGAGATTTCAGCAGGTTAAATGCGACTAAAAGGATATGTGGGAAAGCCCTCAGCAGTCATGAGTTTCAAGAGGAAAAGTCATTGGGAACATACTCACAAACACAGACAGACAGACAGACAGACAGACACACACACACACACACACACACACACACAAACACTGTACAGGATGGATCTAAGCTCAGAAGAGCTGCTAAGCCCTTTTCTCTGAGTCAGTTACCTGCCAACTAGCACATCCAAGTGAGGCTCAGGATCTGTAACAGCGAATTTGCACACCCCCATTCCTGGTCTGAGCTGCTTTCATCTCTAGAAGGGCCTCTGCTGACCATGCTGATGAGGTGGAGGAGGGAGAAGCTGAGGAAGGCTGGAGCACAGCGGGTGAGAAGGGAACATCGGGGGAGGACCTGCCTCTAGACAAGGAGCGGGATGTCTACTGTATTTCTTGAGGCATTTACCTTCTTCCATCACATTCTGATAACTAAGTTTTTCTTACATTCCCATTTTCAGCAACAATAAAAACTTTTTTTTTTTAGGAAGACTGGCGCTGAGCTAACATCCATGGCCATCTTCCTCTCCTTTATATGTGGGACGCCTACCACAGCATGGCTTGACAAGCCATGCGTAGGTCTGCACCGGGGATCTGAATCAGCGAACCCCAGGCGGCCAAAGCAGAGTATGTGGACTTAACTCCTTCACCACCAGGCTGGCCCCCAATAAGAACTTTTGATAGGAGCACAAAATGATACAGAAGTTGTGAGTACTGTGCCGAGCACCTCTCTTGCTGAACCATATAACAGTGAGCTCTCACATTGATGTCCCCCACTTTTTGTGATGTCCTCTGAGGACATACACACTTAGAACGTATTTCCTAATCAGGCCGCTCCCCTATATCACCACGATATAATCACCACAAGTTTCAACATTGTCATAATAATGTTCTGTCGATTCAAAGGAACTGACGGATTGAGGTATTTTTCATGTCCTTTATCAGCTGAAGATGTGGGTTAAGGTATTTTCTTTGCCCCTTTTGTTGACCTGGGTAATTTTTAAATGTATGTGGAGAGATTTGGATTCATGCGAACACTGCTATTGTTTGTCAACCAGAAGTTTTCGAATATATATTGGAAAGGTTTAAAAGTTTTGCATCTGTCATGTGGTGGTTTTATTTTTAACAGAATTTCAGATAATCTACTCTGAAATAGAAATAGAAATCTTTTAACCATTTTAAGAAATATATCCTACTTCAGTTGGATATCTTAATGCTAGTTTTTGCTACGTCACACAGCACTGCAATGAACAATATCTCCACACGCTCTGGGGTCCACCTTTGCCAGCCTGGAATTAACACTGGGACGGCCGTGTCATAGGAAGAACACATCGTCCACTGTGGGGATCTGGTAAAACATATGTCAAGGGAGTGACTCCATTTATACTCCTACTAACAGTGTAGGAGAACTCCTGCTATTCCATTTCCCGTCCATGACTTGATATGTTTCACAGCGTGTGCGTTTGCTGGGTGTGTAAGGGTGCACACTGTTTTTCTGCATGATCTTGATGATTTGGGACATGTTCAGTTTTCTCATAGGCTTATTCACCTTCTCCCAACTGCTGAAAACATTTGCTCAAATGTTAGGAGAATTGGACTTATTTTTACGGATTTGTGGGAGGTCACTATATATTCTGGATACTGATCCTGTGTCTGAGGGGAAAGAAAACACCTCTTACAGGTAGAGCTGCTTCTGCTGTGAAGACGGACTTCTCACTGAAGGAGGCGAGCCAGGGTGGAGGGATCACAGGACAGTCACTGCTGGGGCGGGGGATCTGGGCTGAAATCAGGAAGATCCTCCTTCCTTAAGTCCCAGAATATTTGTTTCTACCGGGGCATCAGGATAAACTGGCGACCGACAGCTGGACTGCTTGTTCATTTCAGAGGGATCCTTCAATTCTCTCTTTCCACAAAATCCAGCAGAATCACCAGCTGTAAGTGCCCCGCAACGTGGAGGAATAGCGATGCCACGAAGTCTCTACTGGGTGGTAAAAGAAAACGTAAAAACGATTAATTTTTTTAGAATAGAGAGATTTATTTAAATATCATTGAAGGGTGGTAAGTTACAAAAGGGGAAAATCATAAAGAAAACGTTGCTCTGTTGAAAAGTCAATGAGGTTGTTTTTCAGGATAGAGAAAGAATCCCTGAGGTTCTGCAGTCTGACGTGATATTTTTCTGACAACAACATTTGCAAGAACAGGGTCAGGATGCAGACAAGATGGAAACCGTTCTCCTTCATATTTCTTCATATTTCTTGCTGGAGCAGTTCAGGTTGAAATGCAGGAATCCCACCAATGAGCACCAAGAAGAAGGGGCACTATATGTTAACAAAAGGCGCTGAATAGGAGAACCGCCCAATGCAGTAAGGGACCTGAGATGTCGCATGGACAGTCTCATCGTGATCTCATGGTGGTCTCTGGATTTGTAAGGTCTGAGCTCCTGGTGGTCTTGAAATAAACAGCAGGTGATCCAAAGGCAGCCAACCAAAAGGCAGAGTCGTGACACGGACCACACACCCAGGACCTCCTCGGGAGCATCGTCAGCCTTCAGAAAAGAAACAGTGTTGCTCCAAGTGGCTGAGGAAATCCTGGGTCATGTCTCCAGGGTCAGCTTCCCCCTCACTCCTCATCTTGAGTACAGCCCTCACTGAGGGTCATGTATTTCTCCCCACCTGTCACCTGCTCCCTGGTTCCACCAGTTTGTCCCAATCTCCCCCACCCTTTCCCACACCACAGGCAGCCCCAGGCCCTGCTGCCAAATGTTTACGTTCACGACTAGATCAAGTAACAAATCACCTGCTCCCTTTACTCAGGTCCTGGTTCAGCCTCTGATGGGAGGGCCTAAAGGACCTGGTGGGAGCTCTGATGGAAGAGAAGGGCCTGCATCCTGATACCTGTAGCCTTGGGGAAGGTTGCTGGCAAATACCTGTCTTTTCCTCCTCTCCCAGCCTCTTAGCTAGCAGCACACAGAGCTCTCAGTGTGATGGTCCCTGCCGCATCCATCCCTGGTCCAGCTCATCTGTGAGCACCAATAGCAGCTCAGTCCCACCTATCCCCTGAGTCACCTCTGCTCCAGGGAGGCGCCACTCAGTGGCTCAGGATCTGGGGTCTGCAGGAGCCTGGCTGCCAGGTGATGCAACATACTGAGCCACAATTCCCCTTGTTCCGTGGAGGACGGGCCTCCTCCTGACCTCCTCCTACACAGTCTCTACTGTTCTCCTTCTGTCTCACCTGCTGCGACCCACGGCACCCTCTGTGGGCACGCAGCCCTGCACTCCAGCCTGTTGAGTTGAGGCTGCAAGGCCTTCCCAGACCTCCTCCTGGGCTTAGACCCAGGCCCCTCTGCTCTTGACCCCCTGGATGAGTCCTCTTACCCTTGACACATCACATGGAGCCACCATACAGCTCTCACTCAAATGTGAGTCCTGCCTCTGACCTGTGAGCCTGCTGTCCCCACACCTCCTCCCACTGGGCCCAAACAGACTCTCCCAAACAGGGGTTCTGGTCTGAGTCAGGCCTGACTTTACTAAACCCCTTTAGTATCAACAGGCCCTAAGCCTTGGGGTGGGCCCCTCCCCTTTCCCACTGGCCTTTCCAGTGAGGAGACAGCAGAACCCAGGGCTGAGCTTGTCCAAGTTATTGCTATGGAACAGTATGAGGCCTTAGTCTCCTGATCGCATTCCCATGATGAGAAAGTTCAGTGAGTCGGCAGGGTTGGGCTGAGAATCCACCCTTCCGCCATCCCTCATATCAGGCTATCTGCCCTCAGTACCTGTTACCATGACAGACTCAGCCTCAGAGGTCAATGAGGATAGAGCAGGTGAGGGTCACCAGGAGGACCCAGGCGATGGGGGTAATGACTGAGGCCCTGGATTGGCCGTTAACTGCGGCCACAGTTGGTGATGCTGAAATGGAAAAGGAAGAGTGACAGCCTTTGTCCAGACCCTAAATGTGAAGAGACTCCTCCTCAACCCCTGCTGCCCCAGACACCTACAATGCGGACATTTTCTCCCCCTCTACTTGTGGCAGCTGCTGTGACAGGCCCTGAGGTAGGAAGAGAGAGGAGATGGGCCCTGTTCCCAAGGGGCTCAGCCAGCTAATGAAAGAAACAAGAGTTACAATGTCACCAATCACTGCTGCTGTGACAGAGGAGGAGGTGACACCTGAGGGTGGTGGGAGAGAAGTCCTCTCAGGAGCTGACATTTGGGGTGGGATTGAGGGGTTTCCAGAAATAAACCAGTTGAGATGCAAAAGGAAAGTGAGGCTAAGAAGAGGGAACAGTAAGAAGAAAAGGTCTGGACACAAAGGATGCCCTCTTGTTTGGGGTCAGCCAGAAGTCCACGGTGAGTGGACAAGAGGCATGTGCAGTGAGGAAGAGATGCCAGGAGTGAGAAGAGAAAGGAAGGTTGGTAGAGCCGACCTATGGCGATGGATCACTCTTTCAAACCCCCACACCACACACACACACTGTAGGGTGTGTTGCTCTCTTCTCCAGAGAGCTGCCCCTTCCTCCTCCTCTTCTCAGGTACCTGTTGTCTCCAGCATTTTCTCCCAGTGCACCATGAAACTTTCAAGCCAGCTCCTGCAGTCTCCCATGGAGATGTTCCAGAAGAACTTAGTCACATGCCTGTCACTCTCCCACTTCTCTTTCATCCATCTGCCTCCAGGGTGAAGCACTGTCCAGGTTCCATTCTTGGAATCAAAGCGGAGGAATGTCTGTCCTTGGAAGCCGAACTGCCAGGATGCAGCTGTGCGCCCATTGGCTCTCCACTGACACAGCATCCTGCCCTGCAGCGGGAGAGGGTCTGCCCCCCACCCCCATCATGGGATAGAGGTCAGCCTCTGGTCTGGACTAATCCTTTGCCCCCACCCCACTCCATTGTCCGGCCTCTGGGCCCCTTTGCATCTATCCCATTGTCTCCTTCAAGGCCTACCCTTCCTGCTGGGCTGCTTAGAAATGACCAACATCCTTTTTCTTTTTTTTTTTAACATGAATACAATCAATGCACCTAACCTCATAACCTGCTCACTTGGACTTTCCCACTTACCCCTGTCCGTGTATTTCTCTAGTTTAAGGTCCAGCAGTTGCTGTCTGAGAAAGTACCCCACGTCTCTCAGCATTTCCATCTGTTCTTGCCAGGCCCTCGTGCCTTTCACCTCCTCTCCCAGGAGACTCAAGGATTTGACCTCCTGGCTCCCACAGTCATAGGAAACAAAAGTCTTTTCATGGACCTGGCCTTGAACCTCACACCAAGGTTGTCCACGGCTGGCCTTAGGGAGGACGGTGAAGTTATAGGAAAGAGAGAGAGCTTCTGTGAAGGAAAAACACAGGTGAGGTTTGGGGTAGGGAGAAGGAACCCCTAGGCCCCCCCACCCCCACCACCCCTCAGGGACAGCCAGAGAGTCTCTGAAGGGCTGGGCTGCACAGCATGCATCACCCAGACCTGCCTGCCCACCCAGCAGTTCCAGCCTAGTGCCCCTCCCTTGATGCAGAAGGAGGGGGAGGAGCAGAAGGTGTCTGCCTGGCAGAATCCACGCCCCCGCCTCCCGTCCCTGCTACTCCAGGTTCTGGGGACAAGGCGTGGAGGCCTTTGCTGGACTGTGTCCTCAGGCAAGGGGATAAGGGGTCCCTTGGTAGTGGGGTGACTGGGGAGAGTTCCCATTTGGGAAGGTGTTGGGAGGCACTGTGGTGCGTGGGGACAAGGTGAGGTGAGCAGTGAGAGGCTGTGAGCTGGGGTGGAGGAGCAGGGACTCTGGAGGGACAGTGGCTGGGTCTGCAGGTGCGGTGAGCCGCTGGGCAGGGGCGCTGGGAAGTTCCTGGGGCAGAGCGGTGGGCAGGATGGAGGGTGTGTGGGGACAGTGGTGTGAGCAGAGAAGGGCACATGGTGTCTAGGGTTCGCATCCCTGCGGGAATGTCCCCTGTCCTGACCAAGCCTCGGGTGCCCTGGGGGTTCAGCAGCCTTTCCCGCCGCGCCCTCTCTCCCTCCCCTGCACCCACGCCCCTACCCCCATTCTTCAGCATTTCTTATTCGCCAGAGTCGCCTCTCTCCCTGGCCCACCCCTTGCCCAGAGGAGACAACCACTCCTCTGGACACGAGCCCGCAGTGGAAACTTAAGGGGAGAAGGCAGCACCACTGCCCGAGAAGGCACCCGAGCGCCCGTGAGCCCCGCGTCCCCTTCCCAGTCCTAAACCATCCCTCACCACACTTCCCTCCAGGTTCCATTCCGAACTCACTTGCCGCCAGGCCCCAGGCCCGCTGAGGGAGCAGGAGCAGGGGCAGGAGACCCAGAGTGAACTTGGAGCCTGCAGTCCACCACATTGCTACATGCAGCAGGGACGGGGACCCAGCTGCCGGTCCCACTGGCCCCACTGACACAAGTGTTCTGGGCACGGGGCCAGACGTTGTCCGCCGACGTTCTCCCCAGGGTCCCCTCTCCTCGCCCTCCTCGCACTCCTGGCCAGCTTTCCAGGCCATGCCGGAAGACTCCTCCCGCCCGTCGCTCTCCTGGTCTGGGTCTGGTGGGTCTGGTGACTCTCACGTCACTCATTATTTCCAGTCTCCTCATGCAGCCGAAGTCTCTCTCCCTTTTCCCCCTGCCCCTCAGCCCTTCTTTCCTGCACTCATCCTCCTGGCCCTCCCGTCTCTATTCCATGTTCACAATCACTCCTCTCTTCTTAAATAACGCAAGATTTTCCTTCTCCAGAATACTCCCGTCTTCATGAAGGGGACTGAACACAGCCCTTAGCTGTGTCATTGACGGGATGTTTTCTAGTAGTTTTGATCCCAGCGGAGCCCAAGGCCTTTTTGTAGATAAAGTAACTCGTGTTTGGGAAAGTTTGGGGTGCAGACCTCCGAATGTGTATTTCCCAGTTTCTGCTGCAGGCAAGGATTCAAAGCGGTGCCGGTGCAGCCTGGAGGCTTCTAGAGGGTTCTCCTCCCCGGGCCGCTGATCCTGCACTACGGGTTTAGCCTCTGTGGCAGTGGGATTCTCACACTGTTCGCCAGGCATTTCAGGAATGGTGGACTCACCAGGACATGATGAGGGAAACACTCGTATGTTGAGGGTGAGAAAGATGCTTGATTTCTCCCCAGTGGGGCCTGATGGGGCTTTAACTCCACACGTCAAAGGCACTTGAAGTGACAGAGGAAGGCAGTGCATGATCCGTCTCTCTCATCACCAGCGACCCTGGTCCAGGACTCCCGACCAGGCAGCACTCACACCTGAGTTAGGAGACCTGAGGTGAGTTCTCAGCATGATGCTTGCTGAGGGTCACCTGCACCATGTCTTCATTGAATCCCTTGTCACTCCCTGAGGCAGCATTTCCTAAGTTACAAATGTGGAAATTGATGCAATGAAAGATGAAGAAGATAGCAGAGGACAAGCAGCCAGAATTTCATCCAGATACCCGATTCCTGTTTCTGGAAGTGTGATCTATAGTGCATTTCCATTAAAATTGCTTCAGGAGGCAATTCCTCACAATCTGTGGCCTGGTGTGAGTCTAGGGACCAGGAGCTTGCATGGGGGTGAGCCGGGAACAGCCCAGGTTCCCACAGAGGCCTGTCCTCCTCCCACCAGGCCATCCCACCAGTGATCTAATGCCAGCCTTCTGCCCTCCTCCTGTTCTCCCAGTCAATTGCCCACTTCACCCACCTCACGGGGTCGGGCTGCCAGGCCCTTCCGGGTTGCCTCCTCCCGGGGATTCACTCCAGGCTCCTGTCCCCAGCCCTATGCATGGGAGTCTCTTCCCACACACAGATCATCTGGGCCCACCAAGACCTTGCACACCCAAACCTCGGTCCTGCCCACTCCTTGTGTGTCTCTGGTCTTCCACACCACCCAGCACAGGCCCCTCCTGCATAAAGAACCTAGCGAATCAGGCCAGAACCTTCTCATCTCCTTTACACCTGTGAATTCACAGAGTTTGCTGCTATCCCATGTCTCAGTCCTCAAGTGCACCTAGGCCCTGTGTCCTGGCACGGGCCTCCTCCACGTTCCCGCAGCCTCCGGATGTTGGGGACTTCTCCTCCCTTGGAGCTCATCCTCTCCACATGGAGAACATGTGCAGTAGGAGGCCTTAGTGTATTTTCCTCATTGGAAGGGGAAAAGGCTCATGGATGGGGCAGAGTGGGACTCAGGGTCTCCCCAGTCCTCACAGGAGGCAAGGAACCCCCAGCAGGCAGGGCCCACTGGACTCCAACCTCCCTCTCATTTTGGCTCACCACATCCGCCACCCTCACAAAGACCAAGATGAGGATGCATTGGGGCTTCACTGTTGGAGATGGGCAGCATTCATAGGAATGAACTGAGTGGAGGTGCAATTAGACTCATAGATTCGGGTACGCTTTCACCATGGATGGTTGTGCTGTAAAGTGGGCCCCATGCAGGAGGAGAGCCCTCTCTCAGCTCCTGTTCCTCAAGGGACTTCATTGATCTCAGAGTGACTGAGCAACAGCATGTTCCTAGGCTCTGTAGCAAAAGTGATAGGGGGACAAATTGTATTCCCAATGCCCACGTGAATGTGGAACACACGAGTATACAAATCCCTCTCACCAAGTGTGATCTTCTTTCTGTGAACTCGGGTGTGAGGACCCAGAGGAGGGGGGAAAAGATGATTCATTATCTTGGGGATGTGTGATGGGAAATTTTATCTGTCAATTTGGAGTGGAAAAGTGACACCCCTGGTCCTCACCTCCCTCCACATGTAGAGAACACCAACATCCCAAGGCTTGTTTGATGTATAACCAGATTGATCTTGTTCCCAAAAGGGGGAAAGACAGTCGGGAGAATAAATTAAATGCCTGATACCACGTACTTTTATTTTATTTTATTTTTATTATTTATTTTAGCCAGACTTATGAGGAACTCCATCCAAGAATGAGTGACAGCTGTCAGGTAGTGCCACCAGGGTTTGCCGTGGTAAGTCAGCCTGCTGGGTCCCTCCCACGCCTAACACGGCTGAGCTGGTTTCAACTCCTCAGTTTCTGCTCCTCAGAGACTCAGCCTGGAGACTCTGACCAAAGACACAATTACACTCTCTTTGGCCTCTCCAGCCTACAAAGGGCGCATGGATAAACTCCTCCTTGCAGGCACAAGGTTGGGAGTGGGGGTCCCAAAACACCCATGGAGGAGGAATGTGTATGTTTGTGTATGAAGAAGACTGGGCGGAGACAGAGTAGGGAAGGGGGTGGGGTGAGGAAGCCTGGGGGTGTCAGAAGAGTGGGAGTGGACACACCTGGTTGGGGTAGAGATAGTGGATATAAGGCAGGGGGGACGGGAAGGTGGCTCTGTGAGTCCTTTGTCTGCCCCTCCTCCAGACCCCGGTCTCCAAGGTCCCCTGGAGTTGGCAGCAGAGAGGAATCTGTGCGTCACCCGCATCCTTTGGAGTTGCAGCAGGAAGGAACTTGAGCGTCACCCGCATTTCCTGGTGGTGCAGAGAACGCCCTCTCATTGCTCCCCCAGGCGGAGTCCCCTCCTTCTCCCTAAGGCTGTTCCCGGCACGGATCCCACCTGGTGACCACAGTGTCCCCGAGCGCGGGGGCATCGCCTGGCGGCCTTGGCGCAGTGCCTGCGGGTCCTGATTCCCTCGCCCCGCCCGCCAGGGCACCGCGCCGAGCTCCGGCTCAGAGAACTTTACTTGTGGTTCAAGTCTGCAGACGCCGCCACATCTGCAAACAGCATCTGGTGAAAGGGCGGCGGCCAGTTCCTCGGTCCCCTCGCCGCAGCCGCGATCGATCCTCAGTGTCCCCGACCCTCGTGCGGAGAACTGACCCGGCGCCCCGGGGACGGTCCTCGGCCCCCCGCCCCAGAGGGACCTGGACAGACGCGCAGCCACCAGCATGGACTGGCGTAGTCCAGGACTGCGCTCCTGGCCCGCCGGCTTCAGACCCGAGAAGATGAGGAGGGGAGGAGCGGGGGGAGGAAGACCCAGGGCCGGGTGCGTCCTCCCGAAGCCCCTGAGACTAGGCTGGGACCAGCGTGGGGGCCCACTTGCGAGCCAGCTGCAGGGCGGAGGAGGGGGTGCTGCCGCTGGATGGGGAGAGGACGGAAATCCGTAGACTTTCTGCTCTGACCTTGCTCCTCCGGTGCCCTCGGAGGAGTCTGGAGCCGGCAGGTGGACAGAGACCAGCAATGACATCTGGGGTTTCTTGAGGCCTGGGCTCCAGCAGGATGGTTGGAATCCATGGTCACCCCGTCTTTACGACAGAGCAGGTGCTGTCTGTCCTCAGTGAGTTTGCTTAACATCCGGTGCACTTGGTGAGAGCGAATCTTAATCATCTGAGAGGAAAGAGTTTGAGAGGTTAGGAGCGGAGAGAGGAGGTGAGAGAGAGCAGGGCATGATGGAGGGGAATATGGGGGGGGGGGGCAAAGACGCAGCGGGAGAAGGGACAGGAAGGTAGTTTGTGGAAGGTGGGGAGAGGAGCTCGCTTCGCCTCCAGCAGCCTTGCTCACAGCGGAAGAGGTTTTTGCAGTGGGTAGAGAAGAAAGAGAGGTTACTTAAAGTGAATTTTGTTTTTTATGTCACTTTTTGAAAAAAAAACATAAGCACCTACATTTTGATTACTTACAAAATGTTCCTTTGGTATAATTGTTCTTCCCATTGGATTTCAGTAGTTTCTCCTCAGTGGTCCTAGAGTGAGGACGTTGGGCAGGTCCCACCATGCCTAGCCACTTTTGCGAGTTACTCTCCTAAAATGTCGCTGCCATGTCACACTGCTTGTCTTCTTTGGCACATTCTGCTGCTGGTAGGAGCCTGGAACATTCTGAACCATGATGAGTGTCCTGGAATCTCCTTTCCTGGCTGGGAGGGTGAGGAGAGAAGGAAACGGAGGACTTCACCCAGGTTTCAGGCAGATGAGCACCTGCCTATGTGCTCTCACCACAGTGAGGGTGTGGTGTAGCTGGACCCGCTCCCAGGTGTTACCTACCTACACTCAGTTCTGGAGGGTGTGGACCCCAGCCTCAGGCACCCCACCTGGTACTGTGCTCACATGTGACAGCTCTCCCTCTCCTGCCGGGTCTCACCTTCTGCTCCAGGAAGCCTTTCCTGAGTACCCAGGACTCACCAGGAATTTGGCGTGTGTCCCATGGTGTCTTTTTTCCCTTTCTGTTGAAAGTCCTGTCTGTTCAGCTTATTTTAAGTCCCAGGAGGACAAAAACTGTCATGTATATTTTCTACTTCACAATTTGGTAGATGTTGTTAAAAATATTTGTCACATGAATCCTCCTGATAACAGAATGTCCACCTGGGGAGTCCATGGTACCACGGATTTTACATCAAAGTGTTTTCCTAAACCTCAGCCAGGTAAAGGGGAGACAGGACAAGGATCCAGAAGATGGAGGGGGCTGGGATGGCAACTCCTCCCCCTGCAGCGAGGCCCTTCAGAGGGAGCCCCAGGGCCACACCTGCGTTTTCTCTCACAGATGCTCACTCTCTTTGCCTCGACCTCACTGTCAAACCTCAGGCCAGACCTGAACAGCCCTGGTGGGAAGTCCAGGGCTCAGTGGATAGAAAGCCTTTCCTTCAGTATGACAGTGTCCTGAGGGATAAAGATAAACAGGGGATGTGCTGTGTCCTCATGGACCTCATGTTTGTGCTGAGGGAGACAGCAAATGTCCATCTGATCACCCTATGGGGTGACATGTTTACTGTGGGTAGACTTTTTTGAAGATGACAGAATTGGGGGTGCTTAGTTCTGTCTGGGAGGGTGGTGAAGGTTTCATAAAAAGGGATATTTTACCCGGTTAAGTAATAACTAAAACAGAGGAAGAACAGAAGGCTTGGAAGCACAATGATGCAGAGAGATTTGGGGACCATCTAACATCCAAAGTAACTGGATCATTGGTCAACGGGCGAGGGGGCTCCTATGCTGAGAGAGGAGGGATGGGAAAGGAGGATGGTGGGAAGTCCTGTGGCAGTCGCTGACTCTCCAGACAGGAAGTCCACCGGGAATCAATCAATCGATCCATCCGTCAAATTTTCAAATACCCACACAGACTCACATCCACACGGGGAGGCAGTAGACCTTACAGAGAGCTACCCCATCCTCTGCCCCTGCTCAGTTACCTGTGGGCTCCAGCACTTTCTCCCAGTGTTCTAAGAATTCCCTCAGCCAGTGACTGCAGTCTCCTGCTGAGAGCTTCCTGAAATGCTCTGCCAGGTCCTGGCTGTTCTCCCACTCCTCCTGGATCCCTCTGGCTCCGGGATCAATGACTGTCCAGTTCACTCTCATTGTGCCAAAGACGGCTGTCTGTCCATTGATGCTGAACTGCCAGGACGCACCAGTGTATCGTCCTGCTTCACGCTGACAACACAGCTTGACCTGTGGGTGGGAAGACCTGCAACCCCCCCACAAAGACATCATCCTGGGCTCTTGAGAGCTTCGTCATCTCCCAGCAGGTCAAGTGTGTCTGCACATTCAGGGGCCTCTATTCTTTCCTCTGTGACCTGCCCTTTCTTGCCCATTAGGTCACCTCGTCTCTGAGGCTGGACGCCTGTTCAGCTCTGTTAGCCCAGCCCCTTCCCTGCGTGTGCTCTGCTCCTCCCTCTCCTGCTGACTGTCCCCATCTCCTCTCCCCCTTCCCATACTTACCCCTGGTCCTGTTCTTCTCCAGTCTGATGACAGGCAGGACCATCCTCAGCTCTTGCCCCACTTCTCCCAGCGTTTGGGTCAAGTCTGTCCAGGCATTGGTGGTGTTTACCTTCTCCCCCAGGAGACCCAAAGGTCTGAACATGTTGCTGTCACTGTCATACTGTAGGAAAGGCTTTCTATCCACTGAGCCCTGGACTTCACACCAGGACTGTCCAGGTCTGGCCTGAGATTTGACAGTGAGGTCAAGGCAAAGAGAGTGAGCATCTGTGAGAGAAAACGCAGGTGTGGCCCTGGGGCTCCCTCTGATCTCACAGCTTCCTCCCGAGGATTGCAAAGATAGGGAGCACACAAACAGTGGTGCCCGCATTGAGGTGTACGAGTCCAGATTGACACGTGACGGAAAAGGTTGCAAACTTATGTCCCCACAGATGATGTAATGAGCACGGGAAGTATGCTGTGGGATTCTGACAGAGAAAAACTGGCATACAGACTAGTGGACGACACACACACTCAGGAGAACAGAGCATACAGGTGTGCGCACCACAGAAAAGCTAGAGACTAGTCTTCCAGATAATATACGAGGCAGTCGGTACTATTCTTTATCCCTAAACAATGGCGCCTAAACCAGATAGACCTTGGCCTTATCTAGGCCCTCAGACCAGGAAAAAGGACTATAGTGCCCGGGAGGTGCACTCCAGACATCTACCTGCAGACGCAAGCTTGTCAGCTTACCATCCAGCCCTTTGTTTCCCCACTGAAGCATTAGAGGTAGGTGGCAAGTGAGGAAGCCACAAGGGGAATTCCCCAGGCGGAAGAAAAAGAAAAAGAAAAAGCCAGCCAGCAGCTGTGGGGAAAAATCTCAAAACAGCTGCCTCCAAGTCGACTAGCCATGGGGAGAGGCTGTGGTCCCACCTGGGTCACCAGAATTCATGCCAAGCAATGGGTTCACTCTGCTCACCGAGATCTGAGCCAGTTAATCCCAATGAGTTAGAGATGGAGAAAGGAAGTTTAATTAGATTAGCTGGCAAATCGGAAGACGGGTGACCACTATCTCAAAAACCCATCTTCAAGGATTACAGAATCTTGAGGCAGTCACATAGGGAAAATGAGCAGCAAGGAGGGGGTTTCCTTCAGGCATGACAGACTCCAGGGTCTTCTCCATCCTTCTGTCAGCTGTGATGGATGCCTTGTAGGTGTGCTTCCTGCCTGTGGTCAGCCTGTTCCTGGAGAGAAACTCAGAAGAAAGTTTTAATTTATTCAGCTATCAGGGAGTGCCTGTGTAAGTGGGAGGCCATAAATTAGGAGACCATGTAAATTTTTTAGACAATGTGCAGAGCAGCAGGTAGTCACACAGAGGAGGGGCTGGGGGCATATAGTGTAACAAGATGGCCTCACTTTTGCTCACTTACATGTGTACAAAAACCTTAGAAATGGCCAAGCCTAACCTACAGAAGTATAAGATAATAAATTTGTGTTGTTTTAAGATACTAAGTTTGTGGTAATTTGTTCTAGCACCAAGAGAAAACTATACAGACATTATCAAAGGTGCCCAGTGTGGAGGATCAGAATTTGCCACCCCAAAATGTGTTTCTTTGCCTTGATTATTTTTAAGGACAAAAGACTCTGAAAGGAACTTTGACCTTCCCACTAACTGCCTAAAAGAATTTAAGATAGAAGGCCTGTCTCAGGAAGGAGGTAATACAGTGAGATAACTATCATATAATATAAACTAGTTGTGATAGAGAGGAATCTAACAAGGCCTTTTTTTTTTTTTTTTTTTTTTGGTAAGGAAGATTAGCCCTGAGCTAACATCCATTGCTAATCCTCCTCTTTTTCCTGAGAAAGATTGGCCCTGAGCTAACATCTGTGCCCATCTTCCTCTATTTTATATGTGGGATGCCTGTCACAGCATGGCTTGATGAGCAGTGCATAGGTCCATGCCTGGGATCTGAACCAGTGAACCCCGGGCTGCTGAAGCACAGCATGTGAACCTGACCACTATGCCACCAGGCCAGCCCCTAACAGGCTTTTTAATCAAAGTCTTCTCCATCTGAAGCTGGGTACCTAAGGGTTACTGTAAATATTCAATAAGAACATGATTACCTCTTGATCTTGTTCCCAACAGAGACATAGATGAAAAGGAGTTAATCTTGTTAATTTGCTGTTTTCTTGTTTAACCTGAGGGGTGACTCAAGGGTCATAAGGATTTATGAGCTTCTTTTGCCAAAGAAAAAGAATACCTTTGAGGAAGTTACAATCACCAGATAACCAGGCCCAGCCGCAGTTGATGCCCAGGAGTCAGATTGCCCAAGGGCTTATCTGGAGTGAAAGAAACACGGATTACCCCTTTGTTTCTCCAAACTCCTCCTGCCAGGACCCTTAGTCTGTAAAGTCCCTGCTTTCTCTCTTGCTGAGGCCGATTTGAGAGGACCTATCCTCATTGTGGCCAGTTCAAATAAACCTTTCCCCCTCTCCAAGCACCCCTGTCTCAGTGATTGGCTTACTGTGCATCCCCCACACGAACTTGAGACTAAGAGGTTTGGTATCACATCTCTCACTGTCTTTGCAAGGCACAGTCAACATTTGTTTATCAAACATTTGCTTTTCCACCTCCATGTAAATTGCCTTCCTCCCCTTTGAAGTCCCAAACCACTACCCCCAACATCCTCCTTTGTCTTTAGCTGAAGATATTTAAGGTGATGGCTTCTGTCATTTTGGTGAACTACTCTGATTTCCTGGGTTTCTCCCATGTTTTCATGTTATTAAACTTTCTTTGATTTTCTCCTGTTATTCTGTCTCATGTCAATTTAATTCTCAGACCAGCCAGAAGGACCTAGAAGGTAAAGGAATAGCTCTTCCTCCGCTGCACCAGACAACAGAAATGCGCAAAAGCCATTCGAAATTTCAAAAGGTAGATTTTTCAAAATTTGTACCTAAAAACAATCGTGGATAATATTGCAGAAATAGCTTCTAAGGGCCTATTTGGAGAACTCTGACAGAAAAACAGGGCTCATCAGGACAGTAAGTCAGCTACCAAATTTTCCATGTGATAGTGTCCATTTTTTTAAAAAATAATAACACTCCACATTTATTGAGACTTTACCTGTGACAGGTACAGTGCTAGCACTTTTCACACCTGTACTCACTACCTTTCACAATCACTCTGTGACGTACGGGCCTTTCAGTCCTTCTTTTACAGCCCAGGAAGCAGGAGAACAGACAGGTCTGGGCAGCCGCCACTGCCAGAATCCAAACCCAGGCAGCCAGCTTGGAGCCAGCTCCCAGCACCCAGGAGGAGTCCTTGCTTTATCTTTTCTCTCATTGCAAGTGGTAGAATTTATTTTATATATTTAAGGTAAAGTTTAAGTAAGGAAGGCAATGTGCTTGAGTGAAAAACAATGTTAAAAGATCTGATAAACACTGATCATCAAGGAAATGCAAATCAAAACTACACTAAGATATCACCTTACACCCATTAGAATGGCAAAAATAACCAAAACAAAAAGTAACAAATGTTGGAGAGGTTGTGGAGAAAAAGGAACCCTCATACACTGCTGGTGGGAATACAAACTGGTGCAGCCATTAGGGAAAACAGTTTGGAGAGTCCTCAAAAAATTAAAAATAGAACTACCATATGATCCAGCCATCCCACTACTGGGTATCTACCCAAACAACTTGAAAGCAGCAATTCCAAAAGTCCCATGCACCCCTATGTTCATTGCAGCATTATTTACAATAGCCAAGAT